TGGGTTGAAAATATCCTCACAGTATATGTGCTAATCTTTGCAGGTCCTTGCAGCATACTCGTATCATCATACTGCACATCAACAGAAAATGTTCCTGACCTATAAAATGTCAGGGCCTTGACACTCGGTATGGCATTTCCTTTGGGAAAAACAACAGTACTTTGGCGATTATCTGCTCCATTTTCTTGTGCATCTGGACCAGAGCCTTTCCATGACAGTGAAATTGAAAACGGAAAGCTTTCATTGACCTTCAGATACAGAAATAAGCACATCAGCAATCCAGCATGCATATGTACAGGAAATTAAAAATCATTGAATTAAAAAAAGTGATTGAAATTCATATTCCCTAGGGTCCTAAACAGTTGTGCACTGAGGAAGATGGCATAGTAAAACAGTAAATGACAAACGTTAACATATACAAATTGATAGGATGGAAGAAACTTTACCTGAAACTCTCGCACTTTAAATGTCGGACTAAGAATTGCACATTGCAAGGCACAACCCTTGGCAACACACTCACTTGCATTCATTGTGCGCCTTGGCTCCTTTTGGAAAAATTCTGTCAATATTTTGTTTATAGCTGGTACGCGAGAACCTGAGCCAACCACCTCAACCATGTGAATATCCTCAACAGTAAGGTTTGCTTCTGCTAATGCCTTCTCTAAAGGTGCCTTCACACGTTCCAAAATTGGAACACTTAGTTGCTCAAAATCCTCACGCTTGATGAATCCCCTGACATCCTTCTCTTCCATTAGGCATTCAATGTTCAGAGGTGCCTCTGGATTTGCACTGAGAACCTTCTTCAGCTTATCACATGCAGCCCTGAGCCTTAGACAAGCCCTGGCATTCTGGAAAACATCAATCTTGTACTCCTCCTTAAATTTTGCAGCAAAGTGATTAAATAAGACCTCATCAAAATCTCTACCACCTAGAGACCTATCAAATGAATGGGCCAATACTTTCAGCTGCCCCTTTTTAAAGCCAGCAATGCACACTTGCATGCTAGCATGTCCGATATCAACAAAGGCAACATTCAGTTGATCATTTTCAGGAAGATCTGTTTTATAAATTCCATAAGCCAAGGCAGTTGCCGTTGTTTCATGAATCAAGCGAAGAGGATGCAGACCAGCAATCTTTGCTGCATCTAAGACTGCCCTTCTCTGAAGATCAGTAAAATAAACTGGAATTCCAATGCAACAATCAACAACAGCTGCATTCAGATTCTTCTCAGCTATCCCCTTGAGATCTGACAACACCATTCCCAGAACTTGAGTAGGCGTAAATGTTCTAACTTCACCCAAATACCGTGCATGAATTAATGGAAATCCATCAGGCCCTTCAGTGACAGCATAAGGCAATGATTTCAGATCCCGCTGCAATTCTGGGTCGGAAAATTGTCTACCAATTAGTCTCTTTATCTGTGAGATTGAATTCTTGGGGTTCATCATAGTAGATGCAGCCCCGGCAGTCCCAATGAACCTTTGTTTGTCACCGAAGCATACAACTGCAGGAGTTTCACGCTTGGACTCATCATTGAGCACAACATCAATCCCCCTCTGCCTTGCAACAGCAACGATGCAGCTCTCATTCCCAACATCAAAACCAACCACGCTCATCTTTGCAGGAAAAGCTAGGCCAATCGCTTAGAAATTGGTCTTCCAGCCAAAAAGAATATCTGAAAATTTCATGAAACATTTACATCTGAAGCAAAATATTTTCTGGAAACAAAATAGCATGAAATAGAAAACCATAAAATCAAGCAAAAACGTCAGCTGAGCAATGAAAAAGGTTTGTGAAAGAGAGAAAAAATAAAAGTCAGTCCTTTAGCCCGCATATGCCCATGAAAAGCAAGGATATGGATAACACTATATGGACAGACACAGGCAGATTTAATTTAGCATTCGACCAGACAAGTACAGATCGCAATTTTTTTTTTTTAAAAAAATGTTTTAGCAGAAATAACATAACCTAACCATCAAGCACATTAAAGCACTCCGGGTACGTTTAGTTGCAAACAAACACCAGCCATGTGTCAATTCCCTTTTTCCTGGGAAGGCATCAGATTTTTCATAGCAGCAACGAACACCTTAAGCTTCGAAGTAAAAATTAAGTCTAATCCATAGCATCTCTATTCAGTTAGAACCAAACGCAACAAAAGAGTTAAATTAGGCCTCCAATAACTAACCAGGAGACGCAATGTACACACTTAAGTACCACTGATGAAGCAAACACAAACGAATCGCCAATTCCAACAAATTCTAAACAGCCCATAATATCAAGTACCCACAATTATTTGCTCCGTAACAAGACGGATTGCATGAATCTAACACCATGAGCCAGCAGATCTACAAGCTTAAGAAGCATCAAACGAAACGCGAGAAATGAATCTGATGAAGAAAAAAAGAAAAGCACAAGAGTACCTCGAGCGACGATCCGAAAGAGAAGAGAAGAGAAGCCGCGAAGACGAGTCTAGAGAGGGGTCGTGATTTTGGGGGTTCTGGAACAATCTGAACCCTTTAACAACGTAGACGAAGAGGAGGAGGAACGAGGCTTAATAGGGCGTGCGACTGGGTGGGTCGATGTGTGCGATTTTCGACTTTTGATTTTTGATTTTTTCTTATTACAATTTCAACTTTTTAAAAAAAGAATTAATAACAGTTTAGTCTGTGTTCTGTTCTAATTTTTGGGCATCGATGAAAGGCGTGTTCTATTGGTCCCTAGAGGTGTCTAGATATGCAGCCATCCTTCTGGAAGGATCTACTCGGGTTCTCCGGGGAAACTTGACAAAGTGAACCCTTTTACGGTTTGACCCAAAAAAAAAAAAAAAACCCTTTTACGGCAAACATATTTAAATATTTATAAATTATAAATTATAAATAATTTTTTAATCATAATTTATGAAATACGAAGTAAGTATTCAAAAAAAATTTTTGTCTTAGCTTAAAACATATTTATAAGTATTTTTAAGAGTACTGGTATTTAATCATGTCATGTGTATTGTTTTTGGTTTGGTTAAATTAGTTGTTTGAAATAAATGAGTGATATTTTCTTTAAAATATTTTTGTTAATCATGTGTATTAAAATGTAAATCATTTAATTTATGCAATAACCTTTGAAACTATTTTTTAAAAAAATAAATAAATATAAGAGATAAAATATATTGAGAGAATTTGATTTGATTTTTGCTATTAAAAAAAAAGAAGGATTTTTCGTGCCTAACTTTCTCGGGAAAGATTCACAGTAGAGAACTCGAAGAATATACCGATATGACTTCAACATTCATCACGTCCATGTTTGCTGACGAGATGCTCAAAACACAGTACATATGCTGCAAAGTACAAGATCGGTTCAAAAATCAAATCTTGGACTTCCCATTTTTTATTTCAACACATGTTGCTTCCTTCTTCTTAAAAAAAAAAAAACAAAATACTCCTCCGATTCTTAATATAAGACCCATTTAACTAATTTGATTAAATTAAGGAAGTTAGGTAAATTAGTTAATTATAAGAAATGTGACACGTTTTTCCTAAAACATCATAATCATCTTTCTTAATACCCTCTCTCCTCCTTTTACTTGATTATGGTTAAGGGAGTATTCATAGGGGTAATTTAGAGAACATTGATAAATATGAGAAATTGGTCTTATATTTAAGAACAAAACCAACTCACAATTGGATCCTATATTAAGGACTGGAGGAGTACTACTTTCGATCCTAATTATAAGAGATAGTTAATTAATCTGAGGAGATTGAGAAAAGAAGTTAAATTAGTTGTCTGTGATAAAATAGATGTTGTCTTTCTTAAAATATCTTTGCTAATTAAATATATTGATTAGAACTATCATTATTAGAAAGATTATTTTGGAAAAAATGCATAAATATGATAGACAAAGTGGATTAGGGTCTTATATTTAGGACCAAAATAAAAGTCAAATAAGATCTTATATTAAGGACCGGAAGTAGTATATGCTATTGTCTTCAATCTTTATCATCGATGTCTGATAATGACTCTACATAAATTAACAAGGTTAGTTAAAGTTTATTATTTCTTACAAAAATATCAAAATTACTTTAAATACAAAGTCACGAAATAGTGAAAGGAATGTGGTTATTTAGTTAAAAAGTTTTATAATTGGTAATAATACTATGTGGGAAAAATGAATGCTTTGAACAAAATATGAAATTGGAAAAATACCTGTGTTTTTTATATTGACATGAACTTGAATTTGATGCATGATATGACTAAAACCCTTATTGCAAAAACTAATCCACGTTAATTTTTGTGTTGCATGTTTGATGTAAAAAAACACATTATTTTAACTAACTAATCTATTCACACAATCAAATTCTATGCCTCATGGTTAAACACCTTTTTCGTAAGAACCAATTGTTGTTAATTTGTTAATTTTTGTGTTGCATGTTTGATGTAACAAAAATAAAACACATTATTTGATGTCAAGGCTTTGCAACCTAACAACACCAAACCCTTCTTGAGTTATCAATTTACGTGTTATTTTATACTCCTCTAATCCTTAATATAAGATCCATTTAACTAATTTAATTAGATTAAAAAAGTTAGGTAAGTTGGTTAATTATAAGAAAAGTGACACATTTTTCCTAAAACACCATAATCATCTTTCTTAATACCCCATCTCCCTCTTCTATTTGATTATGGTTGAGGGAGTATCCATAGGGGTAATTTAGAGAACATTGATAAATATGAGAAATGGGTCTTATATTTAGGACCAAAACTAACTCAACAATTGGGTCTTATATTAAGGACCGGAGGAGTACAATTTTTTTTTTGCAAAATTGTCAAATTAATATTTATTCAACACTTGTTTGTTTTTTAAAATTCGAACTCGTTTTAGTTTACATGTATCCAGCGTGAATACGATGCCGTTTCAACGTCACCCGTTGGCGGGAAAAGTTACCCGCTTTTATCATTGAAGCTGCTCAGTTTTAGGGTTCATGAGCAAACCTTGCTCAAGAAAAAATTTTCCTTCCATTTTCGAGTTTAGAGAGGAAACGAAAAGATGCCGACGTACAAGATTCGGGGAATCGATGTAGAATTCCCTTTTGAGGCCTATGATTGTCAACTTGTTTACATGGAGAAAGTCATACAATCTCTCCAGGAGGTAGGTTCGGGACGACGGTTGCCACTCCCTTTTGATGCCTGAGAGTTCTTTTCCCTTTTTATGAAATAAAATTTGGTGGTCTGTTGTACAAAATGGGAATGTAATGAAGGGCCTGGGATAACATACCCGTTTTTAGACTATTTGTATGATATTGTCCAATGCTAGTACCTGGCATTGACGTTTAGTATGTGTGTTTAGTATGTGGCGCTCCTCAGGTAAGCTTAGGCGTGGAATGCAAGTTTTTTAAGAGAACTCGATCAATCAAGGGGGAAATCAGAAGGCTGCAAGTTCACTATGTTAACGATAACAGTGGTTTATTCAAAATCACTAGCTTCCCTGATTATTCTATTCCACATTCCTCTTGTCTTCCCTGCACTCTACAGGATAAAGCATCATTAGTGTTTATTCTTTTCACATTTTCCATTCACTGTCATGGGTATCATTAATTATTATTTACATTATTTACATGGTCTTTCAGGCCAAGACAAAACATCATACTGTATTCTGAGCCTTTCATTACACACGTAATTTTGTTTTCTGGCAGAAATGTAATGCATTATTGGAGAGTCCCACAGGAACTGGCAAAACACTTTGTCTTCTATGTGCTACATTAGCTTGGCGGAAGAGTCTGGGCAGTTTCTCAACTGGTGCAAATGTTAAGACCACTGAGAATTCTGAGGGCAAAGTAGACGTTTCATCTTCACAACCTAAGGCCTCAAACCTTCCTACTATCATATATTCTTCGCGCACTCACAGCCAGATCCGCCAAGTGATTCAAGAGTTGAAAAGAACATCATACAGGTCTACATGTTCACAATGGTCTAGTAGTGATTCAAAATTTGTTTGTGGACATATAGTTTGTTGATTGCGATCGCTGTAATGGTCCTGACACAAATATTTCTTATTGTCATAGCGTGTTTTGCGATCACTGTTGGTGTTCTGGTTCTGTAATTGTTCATGTAGGATGTTAAGTGTTATGGACGAAGTATGTTCTACTCTCTAGACCTTTTCCAGGAATTAAGAACTTGTTTGACATAAACTGTCTTGCTGACATGTAAATTCAACATCATAATATCTTCATGTAGTAATCCATTTTTCCCGTTGAATTGTTGAATGTGGTTTGGAGACGGAAACAGATTTGAGAGCTATAATGGGTGTTATTTGGTTTCTAGAAGGTTTCCCACATGAGCTTTGAGCTTATCTTCTCTTGTGATATAAAATGTGTTGGACATGACCTTATCTTTATTCATACAATGCAGGCCCAAAATGGTTGTTCTAGGATCTCGGGAGCAATTGTGCATTCATGATCAGGTGAGTCTACTTCGGGGAAGGACTCAAACAAATGCTTGCCATTTACTCTGCCGAAGGCGTGGCAAGAATGGCAAGCGTAGATGTAACCATAATGATCTTGTAATTGGTAATTTCTAATTCCAATTTTCTATGCGCCTGGTTACTTTTAATTTAAGTAATAGAATGTCTATTTTTGTGCATTTCAGTATGTTTTAACGCATTGGCATTTATCTTTGGACTAACCTGAGACTGTAATTTTGATCTTGTTCCAGAATACTCAAAGAATAACCCCCATCTTGGTGAGGAACCTATAGATATTGAAGATTTGGTGAACATTGGAAAAAGATTTGGGCCGTAGGTTCCTGCTGTTGTGCTTAATTCTGTTTTTTTCCCTCTATGAAATCAAGATATTGGAACTTGATTTTAATGTTACTTTGCTGCTTTTTTAATTTCTTTTTATCTTTCTTTTTTTTTCCCAATCAACTGAAATTGTCAAGTGCCTGGACTCTCGTGTGTTTCACATGGCTTGTCTTTACCTCAGGTGTCCTTACTACTTATCAAAAGAACTCCACAAGGCTGCTGATTTAGTATTTGCACCATACAACTATCTTATTGATCGTGGGTATAGAAAATCCCTGAATATTTCTTGGCACAATAGTATACTCATATTTGATGAAGCTCACAACCTGGTAAGAATATATATATGTATATAGAACAAATTTATGACTGGGCAGTCTGATTTTCTCCATAGATAGAACTCTGGAGTGTTTGTGCTACTTACAATATTTTTTTCTTGTGAAAAACTATTTGAATGTTCGTCCTATTGATGTGTTTACTTTCGCTGCTCACACATACAAAAGGAAGCCTAAAGAGACACATGAAAGTAGTAGGATGCCTTTTGTTGGGTCAGAAGGTTGACCTAGGAGTTGTTACCGTTTTGACGAAAGTTTATAGTTGCTGATAGCTGTTATTTTAGACTATTTTGGGGAACTGTGCGATGCACTCTTGTAATACTTAGAGACATGTTGTCCCTAGTTTTTTTGACTATGGCTTATCTGTTTTTTTGAGGGAGAGGGAGTGTACTGGCTGCTTGAAAGCCAGAGATTTGTGACTGGTTTGAGGCCTCATTTTGACATTGTAAAACTCTTCTTATCATAAGGGAGAGGTTCTTTGAATATTAATCACAGTTCTTGAGTATTTTTCTCTGTTTTTCCCTTTGAGCCGCATCACCTATCCTTACTAAATAATAAATGACTAATTTGATGTGATAATAACTAAATATGATAACTAATTTGAATAACTAAAAGATAATAACTAATTTAAAATCTAAACAACTAACTAAATATTTATCACATATTCTTACTGTCCTCGTCACTGCCATGCTCTGCAAAATATACTATTTATATGATTCAAATTTTCTTGTTGTTTGCTGACTTTCCATCTTTGTGCAGGAAAGCTTATGTGCTGATGCTGCCTCTTTTGACTTGCCTTCTTGGCTCCTAACAGCTTGCATTTCTGAGGCTCAAAGTTGTGTTGATCTTTGTATAGACAGAAGAGACAAATTAAATGATAAGTCACGGAATCCAGATGATTTTGCTATCCTTAAAGGTGAACTTGATTCCCATGTTCTAAATTTTTATCCAAATGCTTTGAGGATTACTTGCAATGTTTTTGCTGGCCTCTTTGTTAATACTTTATTACATTGTAGCACTACTTACAATACTCTTCTGTCTTGCAGCACTTCTACTAAAACTTGAAAAGCGAATTGCTGATGTACCTATTGAATCCAAGGAACTGGGATACACCAAACCTGGACCTTACATCTATGAATTTTTCTCTGATCTTAATATCACCCATAAGACAGCTTCTAAGCTTAAGCGTACAATTGAAGATGCTGGGGTCCTTCTGGAGGAAGATACTCAGCAGAAGGCAAGTAGCACCAATTTTAGGCTGGACAGTATAAGTGACATCATTGACATTGTTTTCAGGGATGAAGGCAATGCCCATGCGAAATACTATCGGGTAAGAATCTGGAATCACATGAAATTAGAGTTAGATCTCAGGTGGACTTGCTTGTCTCGTTGCTTTTTACATCATAGCTAATTTGTTTGTCTAGATTTGCCTTTTTTCCTCTATGATTTCTGATTTTAAAGCTGTTTTTTGGTACGTAAAAGGTTCATGTGAAGGAGGTTGATGCAAAAGCTGCTGATAGCGTTAAAGGTAATTTGGGATTTATAATAGTAGATTGTTGGGACTATGATATTTCTATTCAATGCTAGAACAGGCCACATGGCATCTTTATCTACTTGCATGACAAACATGTATATTTCCTTTTATAGTTGTGTGGATATGCTGGAGTCACACCCTTCTCCTTTTGGAGTGTTCGTAAATACAAGACATTGGGTTTATAGGAAAACTGGCCAATTTTAGAAAATTATTGACTCTGAAATTTCTTATTTCATTCAGGACAATAGTAGCTTTATATGAAGGGGTGTAGGCCGCGGAAGTTCAGCTAATCAGTTTCTACTAGGAAAGGAAACAAACAGCATAAATATAGATTAGATTTGTGATATAGGAACTGAATAAGGAAACAAAATCATTTGACTTCAGCTCATTAACCCGCAATGAACCATCGGGATTTTGGTCACTGAATGTCCATGAATCATGGCCCATTAACCAGCAAATATTCCATACGGTTCTTCCAAGACTCATGAGATTCCAAGGAGAAAAAATAAACAGAAGCCAAAAGGGAATCCCTTTTCTATAGTAGTATGGGTAGAACAAAAAGTTTGATCTGGTCTTTTGGGAAAATGACAGAAAAATATCTGTTGAATTTCAAAATGACAAATAGGTGATTTTGACAGATTTTTAGTAGTTAAACCATTACATATGTAGTCAAAACCATTACAGCAGTAGTTAGCATGACTATTTCTCTTTTTAAAATTCAACATGTATTTTTCTGTCATTTTTCCTTGGTCTTTTTATCCTCACTACATTACCTTTCTGTTTAAACTCTCTGAACTATAGTCTATAATACAATATAATAGATATAATCAAGGTTAGTTGTCCCTTTTGATGCTTTAAATTTTTTTTTTTTCGTGAGCAAATTTGATGCTTTAAAGTTTAAACTCTCTGAACTGTAGTCCATAACCTTGTTATTGAAGATACTCTTTTCATTCTATGGACACTGAAAGTTGTTTCTCATAGAACAATGTGATGCTGCAAATGTAGATATTCCTTCAAGTTTCTGTTATGATGACTTCAAATTTCAATGCTGTAGGTAAGGCTTCAAGGGTCCTTAGTTGGTGGTGCTTTAATCCAGGACTAGCTATGGAAGCTTTTCCAAAGTTGGGCGTTGGCTGTGTTATATTGACTTCTGGCACATTATCTCCCATGGAATCTTTTGCTCAGGAGCTGAAAATGTAAGAATCATTTTTGTTAATTGTATTTTATCTGATAATATCATTATTGTCACAGTACTTAACAGAGTGGGTTTTGGACATTTCAGAGATTTTCCCATTCGACTAGAAAACCCACATGTAATAACCCCAAATCAGATTTGGGCTGGAGTTGTACCAGTTGGTCCTTCAGGGCGTACTTTTAACTCTTCCTATCGCACACGTGATTCTATGGAGTACAAGCAGGAGCTTGGTAATGCAATTGGTATGTGACATTATTTTTATGCTGAGTAGGTTGATTTAAGCCTTATGTGCTAATTGTCTTGCCATTTTGCAAGCACCTATCTTGTTAACAAGGGGAAAAATTCTGCATTGGAATCAGTATTAGTGACAGGAGCATCACATTCTTGTCATGGCTTAATCCTGCTTTTGTGATGAAGATTGTAGAATCTTGAGATAGAATGCATAATCTTGGCTATCCAGGATGCCTTGATTACTTTGTTGCCCAAAAATATGAAGATGCTACTTCAAAAAATGGGCAGAGGCTAAATATCCTTTGCTCTGTGTCCTTCTCTTGTCATTTGAGTTCCTGGTTCTGTCTTTTGGTACCATTGTGCAATGCTTTCTTCTTGCTTGTTGGGGTTGGTTCTTTCTTGTTTGTGCCTGCTGGGGATGGATGATTTTCAGTTCGGATGTGAGTTTATCTGCAGAAGAGAAAGTGAAGGCCAGCCATGGGTGCTAAATGTCTTCTCATGGAATGGAGTCTATTTCTCAATTCCGTGGTCAATTTTGTGGTTGTCGTGCCCAGTTTTAATGTGCCATCATTATCAGATGACATGGGGTCTCCAATGGTTGCTTAACTTTTTTCCCCTTGCGTAAAATGTATTATTGAATTTTGTCTATTTTGTGTTTGTGTTTTATTGTTTGATGGGTTCATTAGTATTAATTTTGATAGCTTTATACTTAGTGTTTAAAACTATTTTGCCCCTTTTCTGTTCCTTCATGAGATCTTAATTTTGATGACCTTGGATATGGGCATTAGAAGCCTGATGATTATTACTGATTGTTCATAATCTAATCATAGTGTTTTATGTTTTAGTCAATTTGGCTCGAATTGTTCCTGATGGACTGCTTGTATTCTTCCCATCTTATTACCTTTTGGACCAATGCATTGGGTGCTGGAAAAACATGGTAAGATTGTTAAATCAATAATGAAGGTGCAAAATCTTTTTGCTCTCAACTCATGTATTTTGTTTTACCTTTCAGACCAATGGAAATTCAACATCAATATGGGAGAGAATTTGCAAACATAAGAAACCTGTCATAGAACCCAGGCAATCTTCCTTGTTTTCCCTATCAATTGAGGTGACAATTACACTTAATAAAGTGAAAAACATTCTTCCGCAATTAATATCTAAATACATCTTTTTCTAAAGATGAAGCTAAATGACATTTCGGGCAGGATTACGTATCTAAGCTGAAAGACACATCTGCATCTGGAGCAGTATTTTTCGCTGTTTGTCGTGGCAAGGTATCTATTGATGCTGACTATTGAAGAAAAATGAGTGTGCTAGACTTGTATTATGTTTAGATTGATAAAAATTGCAATGTGTTTGGTTTTAAAGTTGACTTTTGAACTGACAGATTTACCATGAAGGTTTAATTTGGAGTTCCTGCATTCGCAACCCAAGTTTGGACTTTTAAGTCTTAATGTGATAGAAGCTTTCTAAGGCTCTTAAGTCTTAACATTCGCACTGATAATTTTTTAATTGCTTGAACTGACTGAATATTGCAACTTGCAAGAAACCCTTTGTAGATTACCTGAGACGATGACCAACTGGTGGTGGTTTTTACAATTTTATTGGTACTTGAGATTAATGAAAATCTCTTGATTTAGGTACCTATAATCATTGGAGATTTTCTGAATATCCTGTATTGATGATGTACAGAGAAATAGGATTTAGTTGCAAGAGATGGAGGTTTAGGGCAAGCAAACCATTCTATTTTTTTTTTGGCTAAATGTCCATTTCATGTGACACAGGCTTGATGTGCTGATTATATTAAATTCTTGAGTCTATGAACGAGAAGAAAACAAAAACAAAAACATAGCATGCGTTGTTCACTTTTTATTAGTTTTAATCTCTTTGCATGTGCAATCTAGAATAGGAGGATGTCTAGTAGTCGCTTCTTTTATTTCTTTCTTTCTTTCCTTCCTTTGCTCCTTCCAATATTGGTTACAAGTCTCGCTTCTTTTCTACACAAATCTGATTTGCAATGCATCTTAGTTTTTGGAAAAATACTTGAAGATTGTGAATGGATTCCTTTATGTTAGTCCAATGACGACGAGAATAACAAGTTTTATCCCACTAAGTGTGTCAGCTATAATTACATGATACCATTAGACTCTATCAATAACCAACTTTTTAGATGTATTATTCACCAATGGATCCCCTTCTATAGCTTCTTTAAGTATCCTTCATGACATGTCAATCTTTATGACGAGGATACTTCATCATGGACTAAATTGCAAATTGTTGTCTTTAGTATTTACATGACACACTATTGTTGTGTGCGGTTCTATGCAAGGCATGCATCTTGTGATATAGAAGTCCTCACAATCTTGCATCTCATTATGTAGTTTATTAACTTGTGCTGCCATATATCATGAACATTATAGAAGTCCAGTTGTTTTGATTCTGGTAAAAGAAAAGGACAGAAATGCCTAGATGTACATTTACTTGTACATACTACCAAGCTGCCTTGATTAGCATGTCTTGCTTGCTTGGGTGACTTTAATGTTCGTTTATGCTAGTATATAGAAGTTAATTGTTGTTAATTATATAGGTAAGTGAAGGATTAGATTTTGCAGACCATGCTGGAAGAGCTGTGATGATAATTGGTATGCCATTTGCCACAAGTAATGATCCTAAGGTTTGTTTCTTTTAACCCTCCCACCTTTATTATTGCTGAGACTTATTGTCTTACAAGTTGCTGTTATTGATTTAGCTAACTTTCTGTATGGCCTTATGCTTTGACTCACCCATTTTAACATAATAGCTTTTGTTATGATTGCCACGAGGTTATATGCCATTCATTTTTTGTTTCATTTTAGAAGTGGTCCACATTTCTTTAAAAGTTTTTGTAACATTATCCCTCAAATGTAACTTCACTTGCCTTTTACTTTTGGAGTCCAATTATCATTTGAGTCTAACTCTTTGTTTGAACTTGTGATTTTGAGTCTCAGTGGCCTCAGGTCACAACTTTCATTTTTCTTCATGGCCAAAGCTTGTACTGGTGAACCTTTGAGGCCTCAGGTCTAACAGTTTTTCCAGGGGTCTTGAATCTTGTGCTGTGAGGCCTTTTTTTTCGTTTTGTTATGTGGGATCCCTTGTTGTCATTACTCTCTATCCTTAAAAATGGAAATGGATGGAATGGAAAAATAATTTTGATGGAAAATGATCATCGTGCCATTACTTCAATGGGGCCAAAAGTTGGGGGTTTAAATTTACACTTGCTTTTTTTAGTTGTAGAGTAAATAACTGTTCTTCATTAGTTGAAATAGTAGCTAACATTGCAATTTGTGAGGCCAGTATGTCTGGTAGCCGACCATCTCAATGGGTCCAGTTCTTGGCTACTCTGGCTATGGGGTTGAACTCAACCAGAACCTCGGTTAGTTCCAGGTTCATCTGGTCAAATGAGCCAGTTCAGGGTCGTTTTAAGATCAGTGCTTTATACATGACCTTATGTTTCGAAACCTGCTGAAAATTAATTTCTGAGCCCCAGGTTTTATTTTCGAATTTTCAAACTTGAAAATACACACCTGTTAATTAATTACCCCTCAATTGCCCTTGTAATAGACAGAAAGCAATCGCATGACAGTCATTTCTAATTTATAGGAATCAATACTCTTTTTTTTGGCCAACTTGTAGCAATCAACAATTGCAAAAAGGTATTTATTGAATTAAATAATATGCAGGTTCGTTTAAAGCGAGAGTATTTGGATCAACAATCCCAAACCCAAGGAGAATTGTGTAAGGTAATGTTAGCATGACTTGATAAATATAATAATATTTTCCCCTTTGTACTTTGTATTATATTTGCTCATTTTTTATCAGGTTTTAACTGGAGAAGAGTGGTATAATCAGCAAGCTTCGCGTGCAGTGAATCAGGCTGTTGGCCGTGTAATTCGTCACCGCCATGACTATGGAGCAATTATCCTTTGTGATGAAAGGTTTTTGCCATTTTTCTAATTTAAATTTCTCTAAAATGCGTATCTTGGCAGTAAACTAGACTATGATTAGCTTTTATTTCTTGAGGTGTTACTTGGGAAAAAATAATCTAATTCCATTTTTCACTTTTTCTTGAGTGTCAACAGGTTGACATTCTAAGATACTGATTTCTTCCGAAACATCTACCTCATACTTTCTTTGAGATCACCACCCTAGTCTGAGTGAGCTACCTTGAATATATTCCTTTGAAAAATAATTTCATAATAAAAAATATTTTTAAAAAATTATGAATACTTAATAATAATAATTATACATAATTTTTAGTTAAGAAATCAATTTGAAATTTTACACAATTAAAAGAAAATTATATTAGAAAGTCTCGAGTTAATTTGTTACATAAAATATATCAAGGAAAAAAAGCCTTACGAAATCAAACAATGTTTATAAAATCCTTTTTTTTAAAAAAAAGAACTACATGTTTGTACAGGGTTGGGCTTGGGCTGGGCAGACAACATGTCCGCAGCCTGACCTGTTTGCCTGCGGCATGATGGGAAGCACTGAGCCTACGAGGCTACCTGGTTTTGTGAACATCCCTAGTTGAGGGCAGCAATAGACAATAAATGGATGTGATTTGTGCCACTGGGGAAAAAGTTATCGCCCTAACTAAGCTAGAGATTTTGAAACCTTGGAAACAACAACAGACTTACCATTGACAACCAACAACAGACTTACCGTTGGGTGAAGGACAAGCCCAAATACCATTGGACTGCATGGTCTTAAAGAGATGGAGATTGAGAGATACAAGCTGTGGGATTGCTATTCTGTGTGATAGCGGCAATGGCAAGAGACTTGGATGCTTGATAGTGAAAGAAAGCTAAGCTCCTCCCAAATTTTCAAAAGCAGTTATGGGAGTTCCTGAAAATAGAGAAGAAGAGCATCCACTTTGTGGGGCAAGGAGGGTACAATAAAGTTGAATATAATGTATTAGATAAAGAGACCTTTGGGGAAAGAAATGGCCTTACAAGCACTGAATAGAGGCTGACAACCACGAAATAGGGCTGGACAACAATGAAAAATCACTAAATAGCACAAATAAAGCCGACCAGTGAGTTTGGAGAGTTGGTTTAGATAAATTGGAGGTTCCTAACTAGAACTGAAACTTTAGGCGACAGAAGAGATGGTTTGCATGCAGATGGCTAGATGTGTAGATTTTTGGTTGCGACTTGTGGGAGTGTTGTTAGAACTTAAGTAGACATCAAATGATTTGTTGATGATGTTTGAGGATGATGGCGGGGGCTTGTTGTCCAAGATAAGTGATGCACAGTAGTTTGAATGGGGAACAACTCCAAGAAGCGTTGTAGGGCAAGGGAAATAAAAGGATCAATGATTGCAGTGATGCAGTTACTTGAGGTTCTAATACCATGAAGAAAACAATGTGGTCAGTAAGTACAGATCTGAATGAGCCTGTTATTTATATTAAGGATACGAAAACAAAATATCAATGACTAATAATTACATGATAATCTCTATAGTCTCCCTAATCATTTACAATATTATAATCAATACTAATTATTTATAGTGATCAATCATAATCACCAACAAATCATTGACACAATCAGCATCCTATTTAATTGATTTAATCTGTTCTAATTAAATAGTTATAAATTCATGGTTGGTTGTAGGTCTAAAACCCTGTACAAGAGAATTTTGTAGTCTTGGAATACTACAGTCTTGTTTATTTTCTTTTTAAAATCTCCAACCTTTTTATGATATGACGCTTGTGATTTTTAGCTTCACTTGTGCCTCTGTGTTTTACTGATTGGTCTTTATTTATAGGTTTGCATATCCACACCGTCAATCTCAAGTCTCACGTTGGATACAGCCTCACATCAAGGTGCAATATTTTTTTATAATGGAGTCATCTTTTGGATTAAAAGTTCTCATACTTATTTATATTCTTGCAGTGTTTCTCAAAATTTGGAGAAGTAGTTTTTACCTTAACTCGATTTTTCCGTGATGGAGGAAGTCGCGGCCCTACAAAGCTGTCATTATTAGAAGCCGAAAATGGGGGTCAGTATGGTCTGGTATTGTGTTCTTTATCTTTTTATCGTTTGGGGCCTGGCCGTTCACACTTTTTTTTCTATCATATTATGGAAAACTTGGTCTTCTCTTTTTTCAAATAAGTTGTAGTGAGGAAGTGTATGCTTTAAAGGTTTTTCTACTATGAAACGGCAGTCACATGTTGAAATATGAATTTTTCTTATATATGAAATGAATATGGACTGCTATTTTCACAGTCATGATTCAATAAACCTCCAGTTACAGGGAAGAAAACTGGGGGGTTGAGGGGTTAGTTGTGTAGGCTCTGCTGTTTGTTGGGTGCTGCCATATTTAAGGTAGACAATATTTAAAAAGAAAAAAAGAAAAAAGAAAAAAAGTTAATTATGAAAATAAAATACTGATGCTGCCGCTGGTTCTAATGGTGAATTTGTTTGGCAATCCATTTAATTGGATATACTTAAATTTCTTAGATGATGATACATTCACCTTTGCTGACCACACATATAAACGGCAATCTGGAGGAATAATGGAAAACGGAAAGGCGTCTTTTGTTGGGACAGAGGTTTGACTTGGTGTTCCTACCTTTTTGGAGTAAAACTCTAGGTGGCTATAGGTTTGCTGTTGGCTGTTAGCTTTTACTTTAGGGTTATTTTGGCGACTGTGCCGTATGCTTTTTGTAATATGAAAGACGTTGGAGTCTCTAGGGTTGGCATGGATCATTTTTGAGTGTTGAAAGCGTGAGGAGGGGACTGGCCTCTCGAAAGCCAGAGGATTGTAAACAGGGAGTGTGTCTCTGTTATTTGTCACTGTATTGCTTCTCCTGTTACAATAGAGAAGCCTATTTTGAATATTAATCAAAGTCCTACAGCATTTTTCAGTTGTCTCATCTCTGGGTTATATCAGATAATTAGTGATCGAAAATACATAGTTGTGACTTTCAGCTGCAAGTCACTTGCTGTCGTTTATCTAAGAGCAGTCTTCTGATTCCATTTCTGCAGTCTCCATAATTATTTCAAATCTGAATCTCTAGCAAAAGAGCAGTCTTTCTTTGATTTCTTTTTTTTTGAACTTTGATTTTTTTGTTTTTTAGACCAACATTTTGAACTTTGATTGAAATAGATAATCCATCCTTATACAGGGAATTTCGCAGAAAAGTCATCAGAGCACTGCCCGGACAAATTTTGCCTGGAACAACTTGTCTCTCCTCCTGTAAGTTCTTGACTGTGCATTATGACTATACTCATCTTTATTTGAAATTACTGATTTCCAGTAATGTTTCTCTTTAGCTTCTTAATGATTGTCTATGCAGACTACGTCAGTGACTCAAAATATCTCTTCGAAAGCATTGCCTTCACTTGGTGTTAAAGAAGTCTGTGTTCTGAATCTTGAGGAAATTATGCCTGCTAATCGTGCTGCTCTGGCTTTTAACAACTGCAAGATTAAAGGCTGTAAGAATTCAAGGGACATATGTATTGATGTTTCACAAGGGAGGGAGATTTCATCAGGAGTCGATGAAGTAATTGATTTGGCTGGTGGTGCTCAACATGCCAAAAAAGTAAAGGATATAGAGACAGCACCTGCCACCAAGAAGCGTAGATTTATAAGTGGAGAGTATGACTTGATGCAACATAGTGAACGCTCCGATGAGCATACACGTGGTAATAATATATATTATGAATCAGATTGATCTTATTTCACTTATCAATGAAGCGAATTGTGGGAACTTACTTGCTTTTGAACATAGTACGTCAAAATGCTCAAAGTGGTGTGGAACTGCTGCATAAAGATAATCCCCCCCAAGTTAGGAGTAGGAATGTTGACCTCCTTACACAAAAAGACAATCGTGCTCCCGATTCTGGACCTCCTGCAGATGAGGAAACCCGGGGATCAGCGTTCCTTGTTCAGGTATGACCTTCGATGCTGGGAACACTGGTCTGCCTACACGCATGAGTGGTGCGGAATGTAGTATTTGGTACCGATAGAAAATTCGTGATGAACTGTTGCAATCATGCATGATGCAAGAGGATAAATTAAACCTGGGATTCCTTATCAAAGAAAAAAATTTGAAATGTGGTCTAATATTGGCATGTGGTCACATTCATTTATTTGATAACCTGCTTCATTGGTATGATTTATTGAGATGTTTAGCTGCAGAGGCCCGACAAGTGAAATAAGTCATATTATCTAAATGTTATTCTTTTTAGACAATTTCAGTCCTAGGTCAAGATCAGAATTTGGACTTCGATGCTATGTCTGAGTTTTTATTCTCTCATTTCAACGTTGCTTCTGATTAAGGGTTTAGAGTTAGTAGAAAGTGTTACTGCTTATAGGATTGGGACTGTTTTACAGATCCGTGTAGGATAAGTTCCATGGATGGCGTTTATGTGATAAAATAAGCAGAGCCAAGTAAAATTGGGAGAATGACAACCATAATATATTAAATGAAAATTTTTCTTTACTTGAAATAAATTAATACATACTACATTTGATATTATAGGTGGGAACTCTAACAAATCGTTTGTTTTAATGATGGCTTGCAGGTTAGGGAGAAGCTCAGTGGTGCAGAGTATAAAGACTTTGTGAGCTATATGAAAGCTCTTAAGACCAAAGCCATGATGATGAGTGAAGTTTTGCAGTCCATATGCGGGTTGTTCTCTGGACCTGAGAGGCTACCGCTCCTTAAAAGGTATTAAGCGATGTCTTAAGTTCTGATTATTAAGCCTTGTTCTTCTACAAGAATAGGGGCCTCATTACATGATGCTTTGTGTAAGAAGAAAATTGAAATTGCTGATTTTCTGACATCACCTCCACCTGCGTCTTTGCATTCCTCTTTTCAACAGGTTCAAGGATTACATTCCTGCAAAATACCATTCTCTGTATGAGCAGTATGTTGAAGAAAACAACTAAAAACTTATAGGCTGAATGGAAGATGCACTCTTAATGAGAATCTTTCAGCTTGAACACAGGTGCTTGGCACCTCTGGTTGGATATACGTTCAAGGATGTGAATAGGAATGAATGAAAATAAAAGTCATGCAAAAGGCTGGGGTAGCTGCTAGATGGGGACTAAATTAAAATGCTTTTCATACATGATCGAAGTTTCTCTTGATATTGGCATTCCATAATTGTTATTGTGGGAACGGTCCCACCGATGTCTGCTCCGGGAGAATTAAGTCAAGCTCCAAACTGTGGTGGCAACTTCGGAGGGTACAGGCACTATTTGGAGTATATGCAATGCAAGAGCGTTTATACAAGACCGCCAAAAAAAAAAAAGGCCGAGTGTTTAAAGGAATGATTCTTGTGGGGATTTTGATGATCGAATTGGTCTGCTGAGGAAAATTATCAGGTGTGAATAGTTGAAAAAAGTAGACGCTAAATCCAAATATTGGTGAAGCAGGAATTTTTGTAGAGCTGGAGCAACATGATTCAGAACAAGTCCCTATATTACCTGTCTCATTTTTGCCAAATATTTGAGATTGAACAGTGCATCTCATGGTAGGTGTTTTAACTTGTTTTATGGAGGATCTTTCGCATGTCACGAGAGATAAGTCAAACTTGGATTTTTATGGATATAATTTTCCAGTTCATTGTCAATCTTTGGATACTGAAAGATGAATTGTAGGGGAAAGGACCAACCTCCTGTTCTTTTACTCTCTTCAGGTCCAGAAAGCATTTTAAATTTAATTCGAACTTTTATTTTTAAATTGATAATGAAAACTTTTATTGTTTTTAAAATTTTATCCGAATTTTTCAAAACATTGTTTTGCGAAAAGAGCCGGGAACGTGAGGGCTGGTTTTATGCCCTGTTTGGCATGCTAGAGTAGGTCAAAATGGAAGTAGAATTCTGAAAACCCCATTTCCACCCCGCTTTCTTTCCAATTTCTACATCCTTTAAAAGCGGGGCATCGAGTTTTGACCAGCATGATAAGAAATCAATCTCTCGTATTCCCAACATGCGCAGCATAATGAAAGCATTTACTAGTTAATGGAGATCAACACATGAAGCATTGGTCCCAATTGCACGGTCAATTTGATGGACAAGAAGATATTAGCAAGGGAAAATCGTAAATAAAGATCGTGGAATATGAAAAATTACAAATAGCGACCCGTTACAATATCATTATGGGCTTTGACAATAATAGTATAGGTTTTGATAATAATTTTAATAAATAAGTCCTTATCTATAATTTTTCAAATTTCAGAGTCTTTATTTGTGATTTTTTCTATTATTAATTGAAGAAGTCTACTTATTTATAATCCTTAATGAGAATTGTATGAAATGATCAAGGAAAAAGAACATTGTAAAATCAATCCTCTCGTACTACCTATGGTCCTAACATAAGAGCTAGTAAAGAGGCTTTTTTTAATCCTTGATATAAGACTATAATCTACTATATCTCCTATATTTATAATTCTCTTTTCAAACTCTCCTTGCACATATTAACAAGTATTCATCTAAGAAAATTAATACGTATTTTTGTAAATAATTAACTTGACTAATTTTTTTTAATCTTTATAAATTAGTTAACTAACTATATTTAGATCAGCCAATCAGAAGTAGTATTGTCTTGGATATTGCCTGATTCCAGTGGCGAGGAAGTTTTGCTTTAACCATTAATGAGCTAGCTTCCACTTGATTTTTTTATGGCATGCCAACACGAGGCTCTATGCAATTTGTTTCTAAGCACTCTTCTCCATCTCTTTATCTTCATTTTCACTCTCTACTAAGGTGATAGAAATATTGGTAAGAAACGTGACAGAAATATTGGTAATAAAATTCTATTCATTTTATTAACTCCCAATCCGAGTAATATGTTGGGATTTTTTCAAAATGAAAATATGTATGTATCTTAAAAAGTCATGTTCTTATAAATTAGAAGATTTTATATAAAAAAAAAGATTGCAGGGAGTGACAACATTAAAAGTCACCGAGATCATGAGTTCATGATACCTAAAAGCAAGTGCTAACATAGTAAAGGGTGGCACTCTTCATATAAAACTAATAACCATTGGTTATTAGAGCTATATAGGGCTATGACTTTTTAATTAAAAAGTTGTTTAAAGTCATCTCGTACTATTTTTTCCCCCCTTTTAATCTCTTCGTGTGCTCTACAAACAACCATTGACACCAATATGATTTATAATGGATCCATATATGCAAGAGGGAATGAAACTCACATTGACCAAAATATGTCCATGAGCCAAGTAGCTAAGGTAAATGTTCAAAGACCATATAATAATTATATAAAAATGGTTAATTATCAAAGTGCCTTTCGTAATCTTAAATGGGATCAATCCATGGACTTCTTTGAATTGGGGTCTATTCCAAAATTTATACATAATTGAATTAATCAAATATATATCCTAAGTTCCTAACCTTATATGGTTTATGTAATTAAACTTAATCCCTTTAAATATAAAGTGCTGAGCATAATTATTTAATGATAGTTGTAGTTTGGCGGTTAATTTTGAATATAATTATATTTAATTATCTACTCTTTTATTTAATTACCACATGTTGAAATGGAATTATAATTAAGCAAGAGCCAGTGAGTTTATAATTTAATTTCCAGTAGGACAAAATCAAGAGAGGGACATTGTTTTTGGATGGAAGCAATGTTAGAGAGTTTGGGAGTTCATAGTAAATAGAATAGCGGGGAACATGCGTTAGACAGTTTCAACATCAATAACAGTAATCTCTCACAGAAAACCACAACACTAAAAAATAAATATCCTCTGGACATTTAAAAATATTGATATTTAATATTTAACTTCCTTCTTACTCCAAATCCTACAATACTACTCGCTGCATGTGATGCCTACATAGGAAAATGCCAAAATCTATTCAAACCCAATATTTTTTTTAATATTTATCTAAATTGTTTAAATTAAGTTTATATAAGGATTAAGGCGTAAATATACCTGTAAGACATTTCTCTCTATGCATCTAACATAATACAGTTTTTATAGATGCAACAATACACATGAAAGTTCTAAAATGAAGCAAAGTGCCATGTATACTAAATATATAGTAACATTGACATTAAAGCTGGTAGGGTTCAACTACACCACATTAACGAATTTTAACGGGCACATCACATATCATATTTACTTCATTTGAGAACGATTATTTGTATTGTTGTATCTAACAAAAATTAAAGATTTTATGATGTCTGATGTATATTTATATAACCAATAAACTGTCAGTTACGGTGATAAATGACCTTATCTTCATAAGAAAGAAAATACAAGTTCAAATTCTGTAAAGCGTATTTGTTTGGAGAAGTGAAAACTCTCTGTGTTTTAAGTTTTGAAAGAAAAAACCCTTGATCAAATAAAAAAAATACATATATTTAAAATTCAAAAAAAGCATATAAACTCTTTGTCTGTGTGGAGGAATAGTGCACAGGTAAGATATTCACATTAATCTTATATAATTCAAAATATGTTTTACTTTCTTAATAAAAAATTAATATTTAAACTGAATATCAAATTAGTTTTAATTATTAATTTAATAATACTTTTAATACTCAAACCTTTTAGTTTAATTCAGGCAATAATATAGTGCCGAATTGATGAGCAGCCTATATTTAGTTTATAAATCTTATCTTTTGTATTAATTTTTGGTAAGTTTTAATTCTCTGAGTCAGAAACGTATATATAAATAGGAATAAATAAAATTTAAGAAAATAAATATTTAAAGCAAACAGAATTAAAATACATTTTCTGTTTTTTTCCTCCCCTCGGGTCGATCAAAATATTTTGTGGACCCAAATCTGACGTTGCTTCCTTTTTCATCTTCTCCGTGACGCCCTACCGATCCTCACCGTTCGAACACTTCGCGGCAGTGTCGCTGGTACTGTCTCCGATCTCCGACGCATACCGGCGATGACATCCACGAAAGCACTGAGTATGAACTTATGCGATTTCTTCTCGTTCAAGTTGAGGTAACAAGACAAAAGCTCTTCCATGAAATCCCAATCCACCCTTTCGTGATTATTCAACCTCGCTTCCACCATATCCTGCATGGACCGCCGGAAATCGTCGTACGGCTTCGGCGAGTACATCAATACGGCGATGAAATCCCGAGGAATCGTCTCCACGGCCTGTCTTTCACGATCATCATTAGATAAATTCGGATAATCATTGAGGGTTGTGGTCGAGCTCGAGCTTGAACCAGCCTCGTCGTCGCATGTTGTCGCCATGCTCAACCTCGCTGCAGCATCCTCGACCAGAGAGCCAGAAAAACCCGGCGTCACGAAGAACCGGTTGGAACCACGAAGATCCGGCGGGAGGCCAAGGTCGAGACGCGGCGAGTCAAACAAAATCGGGTCTAATTTCGGTTGAGTAGCTTCAACAATCTCTTGTTCAGATTCTGCATTTCTCTCCGTTTCTTCATCATCTTCTCTGAGATAAAGAGACTTGAAATTCTCAAACAGAAAGCGATCAACATCAGATAGAGAGGCAGCATCGTCATCGTTTTGAGCTTGCGCGTCATTTCTTCGGTGATCAACGTCGATAGACAAGGTTTTAGGGTGCTTGCAGGCAGAGAAGATCCAGCTTTTGGAAGAAGAGAAATTGATTTGGGGATTAGGGTTTCGTCTGAGCTTAGAGATGTAGCCATGGAGGGACCTTTGAAGCTTCCTAGGCATGATTGATGGCACTTGACAAGCTTGACGAGGTTCAGACGACGATGATTCAGCATTATTAGTGGAGTGTGGTTTTATATACACAGAGAAGGACATGGAAGGAAATTAAATTAGGAAGGTAAGGAATTATCAAAATTAGGTTTATAATTAGGGTTTATGTCGAATGCTCAAAAAGCAACAAGACAAGGTGGGGAGAAATTTGGTGTGAATCATGATTCTTGACCTAATTCCAATAAAAACTGGTAATGGGATTAAATGGAGGGCTGTAATTGGTTTTGACCAAATTATGAGGAATTTTGGAGACTAAATTGGAAATGTTTTCTTGGTAAGCATGGTCAAAATTACAATAAAATATGTATTTCTCTGTGTGTGTGTGAAAATGATTTGAAAAAAAAATTGTAAGATAAGAATAGCTTCCCAGATTTGTTATGGGGGCCTTTTATGTATGAACTTGATCTGAAACTTATAGGGGTGAATAATTAATGGTGAATTTAATTAGTAATACTACTATTTTATAAACGTTACATGAGTTTCTTTTTGATTTTGTGGGTTATATGACTGTTATGAATTAGTCGGAGTTTGGAAGTGAATCAAGGTTGAGTAGGCGGTTAAATTTTGGTCAATATTTATCTTAATTTTACAAATAAATGAGTGATTAAGCGGTTTTATTAATTGTTTCCTTCCTAAACAAAGCGATTAGCATTATTTCATTGTAGTTTGTATATGCTCATTGTAACTTAATTCCCCCCTTAAAAAAACAGTATACAGCCTTGTCTTTTCTTTCTTTTCTTGTTTTTTTTTCTTTCCAATTTTAGCTTCGTGCATTTATTTTTTTTTATACTTT